TCTTCGGACATTGTACTTGTTCTTGTGCTTATATTTCAATCACACCACAAAGATTTAGAGAGAGAAAAGGCAAATTTAAGTATGCAGCCAGGCATCTCAAACCAGCTCCCATTAGGAAAAAAACAGAGGTCTGAGCGGTGTGACAGCAAGTAGGCGAGCATGCAGGTGAGCTCAGTAAGTAGCTCCGGGTGATCTACTCAGGGTACGGAATGAGGGCCCTGGGCTAAGGACAGAGTGGCAGGGAAGACCACACTTCCCTGGAGACAAGTCGACCCCGCACAGGAGGTCTGGCACTGTGGGAAAACTTGACTTTTTCTGGTCCATAAGAAGGAAGAACTGGCCAAGAAATAGTAACGGCAGAAACCTGGGCTGAAGAATGACGCCCTTTCCTTTAGAATTCATAAAAACTAAGAAATGACTTGGCATCATCAAAGTGTACACCAGGCACTACAAACAAGGCACATTCGCCTAATATTAGAAAACAATTTTCGAACATTTGGAAAATCATAATAACTTGTTGCAGTAATATGCAGGTGACAGTTGTGGTTAATTACATATTAGGTTTCACCTAAACCCTTAATGATTCTCATTCATATTTTCATACCGTTTTAAGCAAAGGAAAGTAAAACAAAAGAGATAAAGAGCAGACCTAGAAATAATGATGTTCTAATCTAATGTCTTATTAACTTTACATGCATGGAAGGCAACTTAAAGGACAGTGAATTTAACTTAACATACTTCTGGGCTGCCTTACTGTCACAAATGCCAGTGCGACCATTTAGGCCCGAGTCTCAGGCTTACCTGCACAGCGCCTCTGCATCCAGCTGTCGGGGGTTTCTGTGGTCGATGATGATGATGTCATGATGTTTGGCCAGGAAACAGGCAAGGACAGCCTGAGCCTCCTTAGTAACTGTACACTTAAACCCTGCCTTTTCGCATGCCCTACAGAATCCGTTACACTGGTTATCTTCTTTGGTAAACACTAAAAGTACCTGGATCAAAAAAGCATAAACATTTTTTTTTTGAAAAAAGTTGTTAGAATTTCATTTCTTAACAAACTACAGAAAACTCCCCAGTGTTCCAAGGCAAGTACACAGATGTGGACATAATCTGTTGATCTAAATCCTCCCCCTACGCATAACTTGGGGACGTTATCACTTTTGCTCTCGGAAATCAGTGCTATTCTGTCTGTCCTTAGTCTGGAAGTCCAAGTGCACAGATCACAAACTTCTTTTGCCAATAAATCCACTGGCAGACTCAACAAAGTCTTGATCAAGCACTTTATCTTGAAACTAAATTAAAGCACACGAATATTTATGTTAGTTAACAGTAAGTTAATTAGGTAAGTCCTTAGATGGCAAATGCTAATATCTCAAACTCAAAGGATAATGTATTTAAATGTTTTGACTCAAGATTTTATGTAATTCCTCTATGTTAAAAAATTTACTTTGATTATAAGAGAGGTGATTTAAAGTAGAGCAAAATGTTACCCTTCAAAACTTGTCAGGTAAGGGACACAGGACAGTACCAGGTAGAAGAGGCAGCGTTTATGCCTCTGCCCAAGATGATGCTGGCTGTCCCTGTGCTTGGCCCAGATCAGGTGACATCTGGATCTGCTGCTTCTCACCTACTCAGCCAGGCTCCCCAGCCAGACCCAGTGCAGGAGCGCACTGCTCTGCTCCCTCTGGACCTAGGCCTACGCATGGGGGCCACAGGTACAGGAGAGGTGGGGCGATCCATGAGAAAGAGGCTATACAGCCACCAGAAGCCCTGTCTCTAAACGCTTAGTTCCCTTAAGTTTTCCCACGTGCACAAATACCACAAATACAAAGAACTGCCATCCCTTTCCACATTTAAAAAAAAATGTTCATAGCGGACGTGTGTTTGTGTGCAGGAAACATGAAACAAGTTTGGAGCTAAATTTCAATTGGTTATTTTCTCTAACATTTTGGATTAAACAATTTATATATATTTTCTCTCTGACAGAGCTGATTCAGAAACATAAGGAAGAACATGCTTTTACTTTTTTATACTGGAAAAATTTAAACCTACAGAAAAGTTGTAATGACAATGAATGCTTGAATGCCCTTCTAGTTTCATCGATTGTTAACATTTGGCCACCTCTGCTCTCCCTGCCCGCCCCCCACCCCCCCGCCTGCCGCGCGCGCGCGCG